TCGGAGATGGTACCACTGAGTGAGACCATGTTCCAGCGCGTCCTAAATAATGGCGATAGGGAGAAGACGATGGATATCAAAGTCTTTGAAACAGTCGTCTCGCAGATCTGGGCGTGCTTTCCGGGCTATTGCGAGCTACCTCTTGACCTGGCCGAGAGTTTCGACCAGGACTTCGCCGAAATGCTGAGCAACCTGCTATACCGACAGCCGCAGCTCCGAACCGATGTTTGCAAGGCTTTACAGAACCTTGTAGATACCAACAAAGCTATCGCCAAGCTCGAAGGCTCTGAAGATGATCTTGTGAGTCAGGGTCGTGTGACGAAGCAGGACGCGCAGCGGAATATCAACCATCTTGCTGGCTTCGCCGGCAATGTGCTAGCTGTGCTGTTCAACGTCTACAGTCAGACACTACCGCATAATCGTGGCAACTTGTTACAGTGCATCAACTCGTACCTAAGCATCACACCCGAAGCTGAGCTGACAGAGACGTTCCAACGCGTGGGCACTATGCTTGAAAGCGCGCTCGCAGAGGCGGCGGATGTCGCCGTCGGAGCAGAAGGCAGGAAGAAGCAGCAGCCTTCAAGCGACGAAGCGAAGAACAAGATGCCGCCAGTTTCTCACACGCTGATGGACTTGGTGATCACGATGTCCATCTACCTACCAAGAGAAAGCTTTGCGGGCCTGTTCAACATGGCGAACCAGATCATACAGAAGCAGGACGATGCGCAGTTACAGAAGAAGGCATACAAGCTGATCCCCCGGCTTGCAGAGTCTGACACTGGTAGACAAGCGCTTGCCGAGCGAAGCGTGGAGCTTCAACAGCTTCTGATGGCAGCAGCCGGGAAGGTCTCTGCTCCGGCAAAGAGAGATCGCATGGCGAGCCTTGCGCAGGTCATCCCCTTCCTGCCCAAGAATGACTTGAGCTTCATCCCATCGGTACTTCCCGAGGTCGCCATCGCCGTGAAAGAGGTCAACGAGAAGGCCCGCACCGCGGCGTTCGACCTTTTGGTTCGCATGGGCCACACGATGAGCGAGGGTGGTATGGTGGTGAACGCGAAAGTTCCGCACATGCCGCCAGATGCCCCTACCGTGACAGCCGGTCTCGAGGAGTACTTCTTGATGGTCTCCGCTGGCTTGGCTGGCAGTACGCCTCACATGGTCAGCGCGAGTATCACGGCTTTGACAAGACTACTGTACGAGTTCAGAAGTCAGCTGAGGCAGGAGACTGTAGTGAATATGGTGCAGACGATGGACGAGTTCCTCGAAAACAAGAACCGCGAGATCGTCCGCTCGGTGCTTGGCTTTGTGAAGGTCTGCGTCATCAGTCTGCCGACTGAGCTCATGTTGCCCAGACTACAGTCCTTGGTTCCGAATCTGGTTGTATGGAGCCATGAGCACAAAGCTCAGTTCAAGGCCAAGGTGAAGCACATCTTCGAACGCATGATCAGACGGTTCGGCGTCGAGATCATTGAGCGGCACACGCCGGAAGCGGATCGGAAGCTAATAGCGAACATACGCAAGACGCGGGATCGACGCAAGAGGAAGAAGGACGCTGCGGGTGCCGATGGCGAAGAGGACGATGCGCCCGAGAGCCGTAAGAGTAGGTTCGAGAGCGAGTACGACGAAGCTGTCTATGGGTCCGATGAGGGTGACGAAGGCGAAGAGAGCGATATCAGCGATGACGAGGTACTGGGTCGTGCGGCGGAGAAGGGCAAGCGGGCGAAGCAGGGCGGCCGACAGTACATTGTTGAGGATGACGAGGAGCCACTGGATTTGCTGGACCGCAAGGCACTGGCTCATGTCTCATCTACAAAGCCCGCCAAGAACCGGGCTGTGGCGGACGGGACGAAGCGGAAGGCGAATGTTGATCTTGATGGCAAGCTCGTGTTTAACGAGAATGATGATGATCATGACGTGATGGACTTTGATGAGGCTGGTATGATGGGCGGTCAGGAACCCGGGGACGGCACGATCGAGGGCGGCATTAATGCCTATGTCGCCGCGCTGAAAGGCAACGATGCGCCGAAGCGCGGCGAGAGAGGTAAGCTCAAGTTCAGCAACAAGCGTGGAGGTGAGGAGGAGGACGACGACATGGAAGTTGACGCGCGTGAGGTTGCTTCTGCGATGAAGCAAGCTAGAGGTGGTGCGAGTGTGCGTGGCCGTGGTCGAGGAGGGGGTAAGCAGGTGCCTGTGCGAAGAGGATTGGGGATGGACAAGGCGAGGGGTCAGAGTGGGAGTGGTGGAGTACGGCCTGGGGTCAGGAAGCCGCAGAGAGGCGGGTCAAAACATGGCGTGCAAGGAAAGAGAGGCAGGGGTATGAGCAGGCGGTGAAGTCGTGACACTTCGACCGGCACACCGTTCTAGCTGGGTTTTGCCACTGCCAATGTTTCCCTTCGATACCCAAATTCGGACATTTCTTGGACGCCCATCTCCCGTAAGGCTCGCTTGACCGAACTCTCCTCACTGCTGCTCCAACGCCATAGCCCTCAACTTCTGCAGAACAAACTCCTCCTTTCCCACGGGCACAAAGACATGGTCATGGTAATAGCCCGCCACACAATTACACCCCATCTCCATCCCTGCCAGCCTCGTCGCAACCGCAGCGATAAACCCAGAGGCCTCCAGACTCGAATGCACGTTCAGCGTAATCTTACGGCATCGGAAGGTATGGTCCAGGTCCAACACCTGGGCGACTGCCTCCGGGAGGATCAGGGTGTAGCCTTCGGCTTCGCGGAAAAGCAGTTCGGCGTGAGGGAGCGCTTGTTGGATCTTGGGATGCTGGAGGTCGCCTTCGAGGGTGGCCCAGACGAAGGTCGAGGGGTGTAGAGTCGGGGACATGGATTTGAGGAGGGTTGGGAGGTCGGTGCCCCCTGGTGCTCGGACTGCCATTCTGGCTCAAAGCTTGGCGGTTGCTGGGTTCGACTACTATGGTATGAATTTAGAGTGTGGTTTTCAGTGGCGGGTGGAGACCAGAAGCCTTGGGATCTCAATCGAAGTGTGACTCCTCCTGGTCCACTGTATTATTTACAGGACGTGTACCGGACATGGCATTGTGCCAACCATAAGTGCACTCCATAATGGGCGACCGCATCAAGATGGCCGTCTTGTGGATTGTAGGGCGCGACAGTCTGTGAAGTGTGGATTTGCGTGCCTGCCTGAGGCAGCAAGCGCCTCCCTTTGCCGACAGGAGAGACCTCATCGTCCTGCTTACTCATCTGGCATCACCATCGATCAGGGTGACAGTCGCCAGGCCGACACCGGGCCATGGCCTCTTCATCTACATCAATGCATTCGACACGGGTGACGTCGAGCGACCAGGAGTAGAGCTTCCCCAACATGGCACCCCGCAGGAACGACCCCACCCTGGGGATGCTCTCATTGCCGTTGAAGACAGGCGCCGAGGTCTGGCGTCCACAGGTACATGTAGGTCGTCAAGCAGTAGGTACTTGATTCCGTACCTCAGACTTACCCTCTCAGCATCTCAAACTCACGAGACACCAAATTTCTCGTATCACTTCATCCTCCATTCTCTGCTCAAAATGGGTTCTACCGGCGACCTCCCCAAGACTTACAAGGCCGTCGTCTACGATGAGCCGGGCAAAGTCTCCACCAAGATCGTAGACCTCGACATGCCTGAGCCCGGCCCTGGCGAAGTCCTGGTCAACCTGACGCACTCGGGCGTCTGCCACAGCGACCTGGGCGTCATGACGAACCGCTGGGCCGGCCTGCCCGCTCCCACCCAAGCAGGACAAGTAGGCGGCCACGAAGGCGTGGGCAAGATCGTCAAGATGGGACCGGGAACCGAGACGTCGAGCGTCAAGATGGGCGACCGCGTCGGCATCAAGTGGATCTCGGCGATATGTGGCAGCTGCCCTGCCTGCTTGTCGGGCCACGATGGCGTGTGCTTCAATCAAAAAGTATCAGGATTTTACACCCCAGGGACCTTTGCTCAGTACGTTCTAGGGCCGGCGAACTATGTGACACCCATACCGGAGTCTCTACCTTCGGACGCTGCGGCACCCATGCTCTGCGCTGGTGTCACGGTGTACAGTGCTCTTCGCAAGTCTTCTGCTAAGTCAGGCGATTGGGTGGTATTGCTAGGCGCTGGTGGGGGACTTGGTATGTTGTGGACTGGCCAGTCTAGAGTACAGTGGATGCTTGCTGATAATCCGACTCTCTCGTGCAGGTCACCTGGCCACGCAGATTGCTTCCCGGGGCATGGGCATGCGTGTGATTGGCATCGACGCGGGCAGCAAGGAGGATCTCGTCAAGGAGTGCGGTGCTGAGGTCTTCATTGATCACACCAAGGGCAATGCAGAGGAGGAGGTGAAGAAGGCCACAGGCGGGCTAGGTGCGCAAGCAGTTCTCGTGCTTACGGCGTCGAACGCTGCATACGCAAGGTACGTCGCAGTGGTGCTCTCGAGCCAGACTCCGTCCTGCAAACGCCTTGTGGGACTCTGCTGATGTACTTGCAGTGGAATGGGCATGCTGAAGTTCGGCGGCACACTTGTCTGCGTTGGATTACCGGAGGGCGATCTGAAGGGTATTGCTACCGCATACCCGCAATTCCTTGTCGCCAAGGCCCAGAAGATTGTGGGTGTCGCTGTTGGCGACCGACGGGAAGCCATCGAGACGCTGGAGTTCGCCGAACGTGGGATTTGCAAGACCCACTTCCGGACGGTCAAGATGGATGAGCTCACGAAGGTGTTCGAGGAGATGGATCGTGGTGAGTTGAAGGGGCGGGTTGTATTGGATCTGAGCTAGAATATCAATTCGAGCTGCTGCATCGTTCGGCATCTCGCTGAGAGCACAACTATTTGCTTGACTATACGACGTGCTAGGTGGGGGATGACGAGACGCTTATTATGCAGGAGGGACTTATACACTTTGTGATGTCGTCGTTCGGACTCCATTGTAGTTCTCCGACGGCTCCTGTTCGGTTACTTTTGGTTTGCTATTGTATTTGCAAAAATCTCGAAGGCTCCAAATCAGCACTACAATCCTCATTGGTCTAGTGGTCATGATTTCCGCTTGTCATCACGACAATGCGCGGGAGGTAAATCTACTCCCCTCAAGCTCAGCTTGGGTCGTCAGCTAACGCACAAAAGACCTGGGTTCGACTCCCAGATGGGGAGACATCTAACGCGCCACAGTGCGCAATCCTTTTGCCGATCCTGCCACCGTGGAGGTTAGTGTGTTTAAATGAATGCTCTTTTGCCGCAGCCCGGGCGTATCGATAATGGAGGTGATGTGCCTATCTGTGCACTGTACGCACATCGAAGACGCCTTGCGGCCCTCCTGAACGAGAAACCTTTTTAGATGAGCCACACCCTTCGAAGACACGTTGGCATTCATAAAGACGTCATTGGTCACTGCTTAAACAGCGCACCGCAAAACCGCAATGGAACCTACTACCTGTAGCACGGCAAAAGGAAATGCCCAACCCATCGTCAAGCTCCCCGGCGGCCTGGCAATCCGAGCATGGCGACACTCAGACGATGCCTCGAAGGCTCGCCACCTCAACAACAAGAAAGTGTGGGATCAACTCCGCAACCGAATCCCCTTCCCACACACGGAGGCCGATGCAGCACGGTGGGTAGACTTCTGCCTCGATCCCGCCAACCACGTACGGTCCGGGAAGTGGACGGCGGAGGGGGGATCAGAGGGACCTGCGCTCCCTACGAATTTCGCGGTTACGGTTAACGATGAAGCGGTCGGTAGTATGGGGTTGAATTTCAAGGATGACATCTACTTCCGGACGGCGGAGATTGGGTACTGGCTGGGCGAGGAGTTCTGGGGGAAGGGGGTGATGTCGAAACTCTTGCCGTTGTTCCTGGAGTGGGCGTGGGAGAAATTTGGGATTCTGGTTCGGATTAATGCGGAGACGTATGAGGCGAATGCTGCGAGTGGCAAGGTCTTGGAGAGGGCTGGGTTCAAGCTTGAGGGACGGAGGCCGGACTATGTGTGCAAGAACGGCGTTATTGGGGCGGCGTTGATGTGGGGCCTGCTGAGACCGCGGTAAGGATGAAGCTGGCCGTGCTGCTGCGGTCCCTAAGGTGTCTATCGAATCGAGTCGAATCTCAGCAGACTCAGTGTGCGCCGTCGGATCGCTCGCCGCTGATTTCCTACCATGACGAAGTCGCATGCGCCGTAATGCTTCCTCCGTGCGTACTCATAGCGCCGTATCCAATCCGCAGAAGCGTCTCTAGACTGCACAACAGATATAGCCGACCATCTTCGCGCGGAAGATTTTCGGCGTCGTCTTGAAGCAAGCACAGTGCATGGCCCAGCCCACACTCTACCGTACGCTTACTCTTCGTCAGAGGTCCGATTGATTTCCTGACCAAATGGGCCACAGCATTAGACTGCCAGACTGCAGAAGACGGTCTGATCCTCGGTGGACTCGGTGAAGGTGTGCGCTCCGTCCGGCTCATAGGTACTGCCACCCAGGGCGATGGGAACCTCAGGAGTAGTCTCTGCCGTCCCGGAGCCGGTGGTCGACAATCTGATATGGCCGTTGCCGCTGAGCTGGCTTCATTCGAAGCTGGATCTCACGGCCGGCAAAGGGTGTGGTATTCGGGATTGAGCCTTGGTATATGAGTGCCGCGATCTCTCGTACTATATGTGGCCCCTTGAGATTGAACAATGAGTGCCGTGCCATTGCGAGGGCTGGTTCGGTTGTGGCGAGAGATTCCCTACGGAACTGCTCCGACATCCTGTCCTGAGCTGTGACATCTCCATTCCCAGGAGGAAAGAAAGTCACGGAAGCGTCTTGCGTGAGTGATCACTGTAGCTTCGAGACGTATCTGCACCGGATCGACCGGCATAGTGCTACCGCCAGAGCATGCTTCCACTGCTAAATAATGTGTGCCTGATCAGTGCGATGTCTGCGCTGCCCAAGCAACCACGGCGCGTGTACAGCGACCGGAGGTGGGCTACATGTACTTGACCTGCTTCCCACGACCTGCGGATAGGGACGAGAGGGGACATTTCAAGATACTGCCAGTGGGGCCCGAAGCGGGTTGCTGGGGCGGGAGTGCCTGTACCTGCATGCACGACCAATCTGGCCGTATCAACAATATTGCTGTAGGTTGTCGCTGTCGTGGGAAGAGCGCGACGAGGACTTTCATGTGCTTGGGTATTCGTATAATAATACGTGGATGTTTTATGAATGCTTGGGAAGTGCTTTCCGCTATCGGAGAGGAGGCAAACAAGGCTGACATGAGGTGGTGGGCGTGTGTGTTGAAAGGGGATTAGATCGGCATCGGAAAGCCGGCGTCGAAGTCCCTGAATCGGTGAGGTGTGGCGGTTCGGCTCATCTGAGTATGCCTTTGGTGGTGCATGTACGCGCAATGATTCTACGTATTGCGACTTCAATCTCCGCGCTTCCCGACCCACGGTGACGACCGCTGAAATATATTGGCATTATTGTTATCATCATCTCCAGAAGGAATCACATTTGTTACACAGGACGGCCTTGTTGAGAGGAAGGTTGATGAATTGTGAAGTCAAAGTCCTCCAAAAGACCTCAATTGATTAATGGATTGAAAGGCCCCACCCGTTAATATTAATAATAAACTGGTCAGACTGCCCTGGTCGAAGAGAGAAGCGGGCCGCTTTGAAGTGCACGGATCACGCTCCTGAACGCTGCACTACCACAGCGAGACTTGGAGACCTGCGTGAGAAACGTTGCGTACACACAACAACACCACCACCACCACCACCACCACCACCACCCTCTCTTTGCCGCCCATACCACCTCACATCCGGCATCTCATCTCATCTCCTCGCGATACAATACAGCATCGTCTCACGTGAGAGATGGTGCGCGGTCGCTGACGCCGGAGATCCACACAACACGCCATTCGCTTGGACAGCACAGCCTGCTGCACGCCACTACACCGGCTGCGACTGACGACGCCTGACACTCCCCCTTACTCTCGTCATCCCGACTGTCTGACCCACCGTCCTCTAACACCACAATCATGGACGACTCTTCGCCGCCCGCTCGCCACGAGGTTCCGCACGTGCGGCTCAACAGCGGAAGCGGCGACCTATTGAATATGGCAGACCAACAAGCCCAAAGACCACAGACGGCCACTCGGCAGCCGTCCTCGCGCTCCTTGACCGCCACCGGCCGACCCGGTACCGCACCGTCACTCCGGAACGCGCCCAGCGGCCAGTCGCTGTACCAAAACCAGACACCGGCCGAGAGCGCAGAATTGCTGTTACCGCCACGAAAGAGCCGAACACGGAGATTCAGAGATGACCCGGAGTCCCCAAGTGGGCCGCGATCACCATCTGGGAGTGGTTTCAACTCGCGGCGGACGTCGTGGTCGAGTGAGAGTGCAGGTAGCCGCGATAGTCGGTATGGCGGCCCCTTCGTGTCACCATTTGATGACTCGCGCGCGCCGTCAAGAGCAGGCAGCGAAGAGGAAGGCGTGAATACACAGACGGTAAGCGAGAAGTACAACATTCTGCCTTCTGCGGGATTGCTGTTATTTCCGGAGGACGTGGAGAAGGATGACTATCTACACAACCCGGACCCGAACGAGCGGGATAAGATGAACTGCGCGGATCTGTTCAGCAAAAGAGGGCTGGTCAACGTGGGTGGGCTGTTGTTCATAACCCTCGGTGTGCTAATTCTGTTCATCGGGTACCCCATCCTGTGAGTATACAAGACTCGTTACACACCTCGGGACAAGCAGCTGACAGGTGTAGGACCTTTGTCCAGAAGGCGATAGCGCCGGCGGGCTCCAATGCGTGCTCGCTAGATCCCAACTGCCTGCGGAGTGACCTCCCTCTATTGAAGAACCTCCGCACCGGCCCTATAGATCCGGACACACCGAGCAATGTCAAGTCACGGAAGGGCGACAATGGCAAGACTCAGACGCTGGTATTCAGCGATGAGTTTCAATCTGCTGGCCGCACGTTCTACAGCGGTGACGATCCCTACTGGCAAGCCGTCGACCTGTGGTACGGTGTTACCGAGGATCTGGAGTGGTATGACCCGGACGCTGTCTCGACCGCGAATGGCACGCTCAACCTGCGCTTCGATGCGTTTCAAAGTCACAACCTGAACTATCGTTCTGGTATGCTGCAAAGTTGGAACATGATGTGCTTCAAGGGCGGTTACATGGAGGCGAGTATCAGCTTGCCCGGGTCAGGAGACACTATTGGTTTCTGGCCTGGCTTCTGGGCGATGGGCAACCTCGGGCGACCGGGTTACGCAGCGACTACAGATGGTATGTGGCCATACTCCTATCACGACGCGTGCGACGCTGGCATCACCAAGAATCAGTCGGACCCGGACGGCCTAAGCTCGCTTCCGGGCATGCGTCTCCCGGCCTGCTCATGCGAGGGCGAAGACCACCCCACACCGGGCACGTCCCGTTCCTCCCCGGAAATCGACGCCATCGAAGCGTCGGTCACGTACCTCAACCCGCCCATTGGCGCCGCCATTGGAACTGCCTCGCAGTCATTCCAGGTCGCACCTTTTGACATCTTCTGGCGGCCGAACACGGACTGGATCGAGCTCTACAACTACGGGACCAGTCTTTCCAACTCGTACCAAGGTGGCGTGTACCAGCAAGCCCTCTCCATCGTCACGAACCTGAACAACGAATGGTACAACGGCAACGCCTACCAGAGCTACGGCTTCGAGTACGAACCGGGCAGTTCCGGCTACGTCGTGTGGAACGTCGGCGACACCAAGACCTGGAAGGTGGACGCGAACGCGGTAGGCCCGAACGGTAACGTAGGCCAGCGCATGATGCCCGAGGAGCCGTTGGCGATGGTGCTGAATTTCGGCATGAGCTCCGGTTTCGCCGTGCTGAACATGACCGGTTTGGGGCGGCAGATGCCCGCGACGATGCGCTTCGATTACGTCCGCATCTACCAAGATGACGGCGGGGAGCTGACGTGCGATCCGATCGGGTACGATACTACGACTTACATTGCGAATCACCCGGAGCCGTACAACAATGCGAATTTGACAACATGGTAAGTCTCTCGATCGCAAGTATGATTCGAGTACGCATTCAGTATGCTAACGGTGATTCTGTACAATAGGGCGAGCACCGGTTTCTCATGGCCCAAGAACTCCTTCGTCGACGGCTGTACCGCGCAAACCGGC